GCCAGAGCTCTGCTGCTCCACAGGAAAGTAAGTTGAGTGTCTTCTGTTGCACCTGCTTTCTTCTGTCCCTGTGGAGGGTGTCTGGTGCTGGGACGAGCAACATAGCTGGTTTGGGATTTGCCAAAGTTTTTTAAAGTCATTTGAAAGTCCTTTTTATAGCTATGAAAGAAAACAAAGAGTAGGCTGAGGCCAAGCAGCCTCTTTGCTCCAGGGATGGGATGGATTCTGGCATGGCTGCATGGGGTGGTTCTCTATGCCTCCTGATATTTCTGTTGCTGTTAGTTTGTTGGCTTTATTTTTCTTTCTTTAATTTTCTTTAAACTCCCGTAGTTATGATGCTAAATCTGAGCTGTAGCAAGTGCTGTGCTAATGACATAACATTTTGAGGCGGTTTTGTCAGCCCAAGAGGCTTAGGATTTCACCAGCCCACCAATAGTGTCTGAGCTGTGCATAAAGCTGCCCTGAACAAACAGCCCTCTGCTACACAAGCATCTCTGAGGCCTTCATTTTATGTCAGCACTGAACATCTGTCCACCAGCACTTGTAGACTTGGCAACCATGAGATTTTGGGGGATGCCTTTGGGGCAGAATGACTCCCAGGGCAGTTCCATGGTGTCCAGTTGCTGCTTTTGTTCCTTCGAGGGAGTGAAATGACACCCTGCCCTCACTCTGTCTTTTCCTGGGTACAATGTCTGTCCCTGAAAGGCTCTGACATCTTGGTGCCCACCACTCTTGCAAACTGAATCCCACTGTAAGGGGAGACTATCAGGTTTTAGCTAATGCAGAAACCAAAAAAAGTGACATGTAGGGAGCTGTTTTGCTGCGGATCATTGTTGTCTCTGTCCTTGTTTGGGAGTTTCTTGGCTTGGACTCGTGAGGGGAACTCATCACTGTTGTCAAAGGTTTTATTTATACTCTGAGTCCTCTGGTGGCATAGAAGGCACTTAATGCCTCTCAGTGCATTTCTGATGACTGTATTTTGAACAGCGTTTTCACCCCAAAGGAACCCATCCTTAGTTTTAATGCACAGGCTGTGGTGTCCCAGTCAAATACATTTACAACTGCCCAGGATGCTGAACAAGATGGTATCATGCACCTCTGAGTGTCCATCCTGGACAGAGCTGGTAGGAAAGCAGCCAGTTCAACCTGACCCAATGTTTGGGGGATCACGAGAAGGAAAGCACAGTTTTCTGAGCTGAGGAGTGAAAATCCACTGATGCAAATGGCTTTGCACATATGTGGCTGTGGGTTTCACATACCTCAGCTCAGAAGCTCTGTGAGCCCATTGCCAGCCAGCCTGGGCATTTCTTCCTTTTATGATCCATAGCAGAGCTGTCCCCATCCAGTCACTGCCATGGCACAGGGATGCGTGGCATATTATGCTCAGACATCCTGTATTCCTGATGAAAGCCAGAGCAGGGTTGAAATACTCTGAAATGAACTAGTTTCTTGGTATTCGATCCTTTGGCCAGCCAAAGCATTTTCATTCCTGTGTCCATTTATAAATATTGGCACCTCATTTTGTCAGCATTTGAGAGGAGAGATGCCTGCAGACAGTGCTGCCTATGGCTCCTGTCCTTTTGTAGCCTCCTTCCTCCCACAAAGTAGAGAAGCAGATCTGGGTGGGAGATAATACAAAGAAGAAGCAAAAATTTAATTTCTGTTAGTGGGAGGTTTAACGTGCCTCCTGCATCTGTAAGGCAGGTAGGAAAAGGAGCCATTTATGATGTTGTAAATGTTGATTCAAGTTGCATCCAACTCTTAGTCACTGCCACTTAGTCACTAATAAGTTGTATTTGTTCTGCTGCTTCCCAGTCGAGTTAACAGCTCCAGAGTAGCTGTTTCAAGCCATTAATATGGCTCCTGGAAGGGCCATGGGGGGATGGCTTGCACAAGTGCTCTGTTCTTCCAAAAGAAGTGCAACTGGGTTATCCACAGCACTGTGCTCTGACAAAGCACAGTCACCTCCTGAACCCTTGGATGCTTTGCTCACAGTTTTTCTTTGGACAGAGAAGTTGCCTTTTTGCATCAAGACCTCTGGAATGTCACTCTGGCCTCTCTACTCTGAAATGTGGGTGGCTGTGGGAGAGGGGCTGAAAGCCTTGCTGCCTGCAGCTGGACTGGGGAAGGGGCAGCTGGCTGCACAGCCCAGAGGCTTGTGAACTGCTTGGCTGCCTGCCAGACAGTTTGACAAAGGAGGAAACATCTCTGCACTAATTGCATTCCTGAAGGTCCCATAAAACTAGGTGGCAAGAGGGAGGAGAGGCCCCAGAGAGGGCATCACATGTTTGCCTCTAATGAAGAGAGACTGGCTTGCTGGAGGCCAAGCTTCATTAGTTTTAGTGCTCCAATCCCATTTTTTTCTTGCATGGGGGGATGGAGAGTAATACGGCATCATGGTGTCTCTAGAGAAATTTCCCTTACCCATCACCACTGTTGCCCAGCTCCCTGTGAAGATGTCATTTGTATACTCTTCAGCCCAGGACTCTGTTATGCACAGGCACATCACTAATGAGATGTAAGTGAAGAGCACTTGTGATGCTGCAGCCATTCCTCCCCCTAAAACACAAAGAAGCTCATCCCAAATAACCATACTGCCTGAGCAACACAGGAACTTTGTGGGATCAGGTCTTTTGTGGTTTCTCTTCTTCATTTTTATAGAATTAGATAATAAATCAGATTTATAAACACTTTGCAGGTTTATATCAAGCCCTGCAACCTCTCTCTAGTTTGTATGCAGCTATGAGCATCTTATCTGGTTACGGTCTAAAGATCACGGCTGGCTAAAGCATAGCCTGATGTTGATGCCTTGGAGCACAGAAGCTGGAGCCTGGCCTCACTTGCTGGCACAGGTCTTCCAGTGACACAAAAAACTCAGGTCAGCAATAAAGCATCAGGTGTCAAATTTACAAGTACATGCAAGTGCCAGAACCACTTCGGAGATGGGATGTGGGAAGCAACAGCTCATTGAAAATCTGGGGTTTAATTTGAAGAGAATAGTCAAGCTGATGTGCAATGTGCCTCCAGCTGCCCTGTGGAAACCACTTCAAAAACTGCTGAGCATGTACAGCTCCTCAGTATTTACTTCCAAATGCTTCCTCTCTTGGTTTTAGTAAATGGGGAAGCACAGGGAGGTTTTAGCCTGTACTTAAGGCTCAGGCAAATAAGGCATTTCTGTTTGTTTTTACACAGCCTCAAATTAGAATTCTCGTTTGCGCTTCTGCAATTTGTTTTTGGTGTTCCCTGTCCCAGGCACCTTAACAGCATGTAACAGTGCTGTGTTTGAGGATGTCTGGTGGGACATAGCATCAATGCCAGTGCCCCCAGTTTCTGGTTGTGCATCAGAGCCCTGTGCTTTGAAAGTAGCACTTGGATTTGATGGCACCACTGGTATCTCCACCATGGGGTTTCTGGTGGGGTCTGTTATTAGATAAAT